CTGATAGCGGTAATCTAGTACGAAGGACCCATCGCGCAAGTGCAGTGCAAATCTCTTGCCATTGCACTGCCCTAGGCCATCCGCTACCTAAGCTATGCGATGATTTCGTATAAATACCCATTTCACAATTAACCGGAACATCAACGTCCAATCACTCACTAGTAGTGATGTATGAACAGGCATTTGAGCGGCTTAGTTTTTAGAAAGCACCAGTGATATACGATAGCGCACGGAAGCGCCGCCACAGGACACCCCTTAATCAACTCAGTTTTCAACGTCTTCGAGCGAATCCTTTGGGAAATTCCAATTTTCTCAAATAGGGAATGTTCAAACAAATCTGAGTAGTGGAACCTGTGAACCCACGAAGCACTCCGAAATCTAGACGCGCTAAACACTTGCTTGCACTGTTTATTACGATGACAGTTCCGCCATAACTCAACAATGTATTTTGCCTGACTAAGAAACGTTTAACACGTTGTCGACATCGCGCGTCTTGGTCCTTGTAGCCGCGTGATACAGAAGCGATTTAGCAAGCGCGCAGGCCTCACCTTACATACGTATATTTCGCACTGGGTAATTTCAGCAACGATGAAAGCGAGGAGGTTAGTTAGATAACCGACAGCAGAGCGCATAATGACTGAGCATGCAAAAAAACTATCAAACCTCGCTACAAGACGTGAAAAGTATTCCACTTTGTTTATCCAGCCAAACACATACCTTCCCGTTTATAAAGTTTAATATTTATTCTACTATAAAATTTTATATGAATGTGTGACAATAAAAGGAATGTAAAAAAGAATTTAACTAAAAAATTTGTCGGGTCCAGAAAACCTTCGCTAAATCAAAGCATATTTGACCATTCTTGCGATCAGGTAACATTTATTCCAAAGTAAGGTCTATGTTATAAAAAAAATACAAAGACTGGAAAGAGCGCTTGCTCGAAATAGAAAGGATGACAATGTTCTAAAGCGCATATGCGTCAGCCTGTCGTCAGTGTATCGAGTTTAAGTGACCATTCTAAACAAATTTCTAATCTCGCCTAGAGGTTTCTACTCTATGAACACTTTGAATCCCACGAGGAAATACAGTTTTAAACTAAACCTATTCAAGGCAAGCAATCTTGACAAGCGCTTTTATAATGTATTCCAGCTGGTGCGCAATGAAATCGATTCTAGCCATAAAATTGTTCCAGATGTCAGTCATCACGTCTGCTAGCCAGCAGTTGGATATTGGTGGCGATTCTCCTTCTGGCGGATTTTCTTCTCGTCC